GACTTTTTCACATCACCAGAGAACATCTAGAAAAAAATCCCTGCTTCTCCCGTGCCCCTGAATGTGAGAGATCCGATCTTTCTCAGTAATGTCACAGTTCATGCACCTCTCATCCCTGCTGTCCAACATCAGCTGGAAGGTATAGCTGGTACCGTAAGGACATAAATGGCAGGTAAGGGGGGAATAGAGCTATTACTAAATGGTTAAGAGCATTCTTCCAGAGAGCCCAAGTTTGGTTTCCAGCACACAAACCAAGTGGTTTATGACCATCTGCCCGTAACTCCAGTTCCAGGGAATCCAACATACACATAAGTAAAAATAATAAAAGTCCGTCTTTTTTTAAAAATAAAAGGTAGACAGAGCAGTAAAGGAAAGCTAAAATTGTATTTGTCTGCAGATAAAATGACTGTGTAGGTAGAAAACCCCCAAACAATGCTTTAACATTTCTTTATTCTTACGTGTGTGTGCCATGTAGAGGTCAGAGGATAACTTGTGGGACTTGATTCTCTCCTTCCACCATGTGGGTTCTGGGGATAGATTCCAGGCCATCAGGCTTGCAGGCAAGTGCACTTACCTAAAACCTAACCTAAAACCCAAAACCTAAAACAACTGGCAAACTGTCTTGAAACTGATCATAGCAAAGTTGTATAATACAAATTAAAATGCATATGGAGTTGACTTTGTCAGTTTGACATAACCTAGTCACTTTCAAAGAGAGTCCCAATGAGGGATTATCACCGTTAGGTTGCTGTCATCATGGCTGTGAAAAATGGTCTTAATTGATGTGGGGAGACCCAGCCCACTGTGGGCAGCACCATCCCTAGGCAGGATGGTCCAGAAGAGTGGAGACCTTGAGCTGAGCACAAGCAAAAAGGTGAGCTAGCACACAAGCATTCGTGTCTCTCTACCATCTGGATGAGAGACTATGGTCTCTCACCATTCCGTCAATGGCAGACTATGACCTGAATCATAAGCTGAACAAACTTTTGTCCCCTAAGTTGCTTTTAGTCAGGGTATTTTATCACAGCAACAGAAAGAAAACTACAATACAGAATTAACAAAAACGAATATTTCACTTTCCTGTGTAACAGCAGTGAACAGTGGAACTTGAAATTCAAAACATAGTACTTATAGGAGTGCCTGCAAAATGGAACACCTAGATCTAAATCTAAAACTAATGTTAACTAAGGTTAAGTACGATGAAAACTACAAAACACTGAGGAAATAAAGAAAGAAAACTGTTCCATGTGAACAGTAAGACAATATTGTCAACATGGGTCTTCCCAAGTTAATTTCTTTTGATACAATACCATAATCAAAATGCCCAGAAGTTATTTTATGGATATAATCAATTGCTATAGACAATATCGCTAAAGGACTCAAAGCAGCCAACTCAATACAAACAACAACATCAGAGCTCTGCTGCGGCTGGATTTCAGGACTCCTGTAAAGTCACAGGAAGCGATAGAGAGTGTGGCTTGGGGGAGAGTAAGACCCATAGATGAGAACAGAGAGCTCAGAACTAGAATCACATAAATTCAGCCAATTGGTCTTTGACAAAGGAACAAAGAAACATGGTGGAATAAAAACACTTTTAGCAACTTAGATACCAGAGAAGCTGGGCATCCAGAAGCTTTCCTTGAACCCCTCACAAAGAGAGCTCAGCATGAATCCCAGATTCAAATATAAATTAGTAAGCCCCAAACTCCTGAAGATAGCACAGGAATAGCCCAGGTGCCTTGGATATGGCAGTGAGCTTCTAGGCATGACACCAAAGGGCCAAGCTGTTAAAGATGCAATTGATAAGTAGGGCTTCTTAGATTGAATTCTTTCCCACAGATGTCAACACAAACAGAATGAGAAGAGGTGCCATAGGCTGAGACATGTCTGCAGAAGCCATGAAGGATTGCCACATGAAGCAAAGAGCTCTCAAAACTCAGCAATAATAAGAACAACTTGTTTTTTAAAATGGAAAAAATACCTGAATAAATACCTCACCGAAGAATCAGAGACAGCAAACGTATGAAAAGAGAAACACATACTATCACTGGTATAGGTCAGCTCTGTTGCTGCGATAATATACCCTGATGAAAAGCAGATCATGGAGAAAGAAAGGGGCTATTTTAGTGCATAGTATAAGATCACAGTCTGTAAGCACAGGGACTTCAAACAGGGAGTCACATCACAACCCTACTCTGGAGCAGAGCGGGAGCAATGCATATATGCCCACGCATTGCTTGCTTTTCTGTGTGCATTTTTCTTCACTCTTACATAGTTCAGAACCCCTTGCCTAGGGAATGATTCCTCCCACAGAGGGCGAGGCCTTCCTACACCAATTGACTTAATTAAAACAGTCTCCACAGACGTGTCCACAGGCCAACCCAATGTCCCTCACTGAGACCGTCCATCCAGATGAGTCTAGCTTGTGTCAATTAAAACTGACTATCACAGCTTCATTTCTATCAAACCAGCCAAAATCCAAAACTCTGGCACCTTAGAGTCCTCGCAAGAGCACAGACAATAGAGTCTTTTAGTCACTGTTATTTGCTGCCTCACCTACCTTGAAAGACAGTTGACAATCTTACTAAATTGAAATTGTTTTTTGGGGGGTGGGAATGTATTTATATGTGCACTTGGGTGTGTGAGTGAAGACCAGGAGATAACCTCAGGTGTTACTGGCATTGTATTTGAGACAAAGTACCTCTTTTTGTTTTTTCCCCCTGGAACTCACCAAGCAGGCTGAGCTGACTGACCAGGAAGCCCCCGGCCAGCCTCCCCAAAGCCGGGATTGCAGGAATGCACCACCCCACCCATATTTTGTGAGTGAGTTGTGAGTGTTAACTCGGGTCCTAATTTATCTTCTGAGTCATCTCCCCAGACCCCACATTGGCGCTCTACATGATCCAGTGGTTGCTAGGGTTACGGGAGGGAGGGAGGAAGTACACTGTAGAGGCTTTTTAGACCAGAAAGCGCTCTTTGGGATATTGTAGTGGAGGACACGTGTCTTGAAACACTTTTCCAAACCCATGGGATGTACAGATCCAAGAGCAAACTGTGAGGGCCATGGTAGACTTGGGGGGAGGGGAGGAGCGTCTCTGTGTAAGGAATGTGACTGCGTGGGGGATGCCTGAGGAAGGAAGCAGCTTGAGGTGGAAGGGAAGTAGGTATATAGGAATTCAGTGTACTTTCCCCTCAATTTTGCTGCGAGTCTAAAATACTTTTATAAAGTAGTGCATTAACTGGACAAAACAGAGTTCTCAGTAATGTGTATAATTGAATGCCATGTGTGCAGACACACAGATGTTGGGTCAGGGAGACGGCTCAGCAGGTGAAGGAGCCTGGCTGCCGAGCCTGACAACCTGGGTTCCATCCCTGGGATGCACGCAGCAGATGGGGAAAGTAGACTGCCCCAAACTCCTCCACACATGCACATGTGCAGACACCTAACAATAAATAAATGTTAAGCAGATGTTTCGTGTGCATTTTTATGTAATCCTGAGTCTCAGCTCCACGTACGAGACAAAATGTGTGGAATTTGTCGTTCTGCGTCTGGCTTAGTTTGCTTAACATGATGGCCTCCAGTTGCGCCCATCTTCCTGAAAATGTCATGGGTTCCCTTTCCTCTGTGGCTGCGTAAAGTTTCCTTTGTTGGGAATGGCTTGGGGGCTCACGTGCTTGCTGGGTAAGCACAAGGAACAGAGTTCAGGTCCCCAGAATCCACGTAAATGCCAGTGAACGTGGTGGCCTGCCTTTCACCCCAGCCTCAGAGGGCAGAGGCAAGAGACTGCCAGAGCTGGTGAGAATAGCCAGATGGGAGAGCAGTGGGTGTGACTGAGGGTCCCTGCCTCAGTGAGTGAGATGGGAAAGAGAGGAAGCCGTCCTACATGCACACACAGGTACACGGATACATGTGTGCACGCCACAGAAGCACAAGGGAAATAAAATAAAAATGTATTCTGCCTATGCGCCATTCTCTTTATCCATTCAACTATTGTATGCGTGTAATTTTGTATTTGTGCATTAATATTTGTATAGAATAAATACTCCATCTGTATGTGTTTTGTGTGTGCTGGTAGCCATGTTTCCATCAGCTGCCAGGCAGATGCCAACATCTAATAAGCACTAATAATATTTAATAAGCATGTATGTAGGCCTCTTAGCAACACACTGACTCCTCCATCCTACCAAGGCAGAAGGAGCTGCTGGTAGGCTTGTAAGTCAGAGTCATCAAGGAGCCTCCAAGAGGTCTTGGTGTCTGGCAGTTTTGAAACACAAACTATAGCGCTTGGTACCACATTGAGTCATTCCACAAGCTTTTTGTTTTGTTTGTTTTTGTGCCTCCTCTGTGTCAGGCATGTTGCCAGGCATGAGTAGCTAAAAGAGCTTGTCCCTGGGATCCTGGTTCTGGGTGTAGGTGTGTGCTCAGGAGACAGGGCGTGGGGGTAGGTGGGTTCACTCTACAGTTTTATCCTCCTAGGCTGGGCAGGTCCTATAGAAGTTGTGTTCTATATGAGTTGTTCCTTGGCGTGATGCTGGGGTGGAGTACTGAGAGAAGCAACTGGAAGAGCGGTTTCTCTGCTCACAGGCTGAGGGTGCAGTCCCCAAATGAGGAAGGAGGCTCAGGGCTCCTGTGTTCCCAGTCAGCATCCTCTCTGTCTCTGTCTCTCTGTCTCTCTAGTCCTGACTATCTTGAAACTTCCTATGTAGACCAGGATGGCCTCAAACTCACAGCGATCCTCCTGCCTCTGCCTCCCAAGTGCTGGGATCACAGGTGCGTGCTGCCATGTTCCGCTACATTCTCCTTGGCATCAGTCCCGGACCACAGCTCATGAAGTGGCGCCCCTATGTTAAGGTTCTCGAACCTCAATTAACCCAATCTAGGAACCCCACGTAGACTCGCCCAGAGATTCATTTCCGTGCCGATTCTAGGTCCCATCAAGATGACGAGCGAGATTAACTCTCATGTCTCGGAGATGCTGACTGTTGCTGCTTTTCCGCAGAGAGGCCGTGTGGCGACCCACCGTCCTTCCCACACACCGTCCTCCAGGGTCGAACCGGCTTGGAGATGGGGGACGAGCTGCTGTACGTGTGTGCCCCCGGCTCTGTCACGGGCCGGCGAGAAACTGCCTTCACCTTGCTGTGCAACAGCTGTGGGGAGTGGTACGGACTAGTTCAGGCCTGCGGGAAAGGTAAGTGCCTCCGTGGGGTCCATGAGGCCTTGCAGGGAGCCCCCAGCGTGAGAACATCTACATCTGGGAAGATGAGTGCTTGGGGCATTTCAAATGCGATATGAAGATGGCCACATTCTTTATCTACCTGCTGGAGGGGAAGGGTTAACCCACCTCCTGTTTGCTAAGGAGAATTCTTTTTAAAAAAAAACAAACAAACAAAAAAAAAAAAACCCAACTTATTTAATTTTATTTTCTGTGCATTGGTACAAAGGTATTAGAATCCCTAGAACTAAAGTTATAGACAGTTGTGAGCTGGACATTTGGCCTGTTTCCACTTCATGGCTGTCAGCATCTGTGCGCCATGAGCTGTCGTCCAAGTCGTTTGTTTCCCAGGAAGAGTCTTGTCACTGTCTCCTGTGAGTGGGACCCAGTCCATTTTAGTGATTGCTCACGAAGGGTTTTCAAGACAGGTCTCAGCAGTTGACCTTCTGGTTTAGTTATTCCCCCGTTGCTGTGACCGAATCTCTGACGAGAAGCAACTTAAGGGAAGAGGGGGTGGTCTTGGCTCTATGTTCAAAGGGACACAGTCCTTCCCTGTGGGGAGAGGTATGCTTTGGGGAGCACGAGGACACGTGACACCTAGTCACAAAGCAGGGCAGCCTGCCCAGCTCCCTTCCTTTTCCTGCAGCTGAGGACCCCAGGCCACAGAGTGGCGCCTCCACATTTATATCTTCTCAGCCCAGTTAACCGGAGATGGAGAATCTCTCACAGACACGGCCAGAGGTTTGTCTTAGTCTGTGATTAAGATCCTGTGGATCAGCATCAACCATCACACCCTCCATGAGAAGTGGGTGATAGCTCATAGTCCACAATCCCAGCAGCCTTCAGGACTGTCAGCTATGAATCAGCCAAAATGTTCATCTCACCAATGGTAGTGAAATCATGACACGTCAACCCAGCAGCAAACTGTCCTCATATCAACTGTCAGCTGAAATGCTTTGCCATGTTTCCTAAATGCTTAGAAATGGTCATTTGTAGCCAGGCAGTACAGTGTGGTGATGGTGCAAGCCTTTCATCCCAGCATTTGGGAGGCAGAGGCAGGCAGAGCTCTGAGCTTGAAGCCAGTCTGATCTATAGAAGTGAGTTCCAGGACAGCCTGGCTACTCAAAAAAACCCTGTCTCAAAAAACAAAACAAGCAAGCAAATGCAGAAAGAAAAAGAAAGAGAGAGAGAGAGAGAGAGAGAGAAAGAAAGAAAGAAAGAAAGAAAGAAAGAAAGAAAGAAAGAAAGA